TGATGATGATGATGATGATGATGATGATGATGATGATGATGATGATGATGATGGTAATAATAGAATGGAAATAATGAAAATAATAACAAAAATATAATAGTTATGATCAGAGCACTAATAAAAACACAAAGGTGGAAAGGCCGTGCGTGATGATGACTAATAAAACAAAACAATTGAAAGATGTGTGTTAACGATAACCATAGTCCATACGTCCTCATGTCACTACCGCCATCATCATCATCATCGTCATCATCATCATCATCATCATCATCATCATCATCATCATCATCATCATCATCACCATCATCATCGTCGTCGTCGTCATCGTAGTCGTCTTTGGTCACCCGAGTGCACCGACAGATGAACACCCCCCAAAAAAACAACAACAAAACAACAACAAAAAAACACAAAAAAAAACCCCCAAAACAACCAAAAACAACAACAACAACCCAAACCACAGCAACAGCAACACCTAAACTAAAAAATAACAGAAAAAAATCATCAACCAAAACCCACCTTTAAACTGTATAGCAACTATAACAGCCAGAACAGCAACTAGGACATCACCATATACGACAACGACACTCACAGTTACAACACAACGCCACAAAGTCGACAAGAACGGCAGCATTAAGCACACCGTGGGTTTTGTTTTGGGTTGTTTTTTTTTTTTTTTTGGGGGGGTTGTTTTGAAATGTTACAATAATGATTTTTCTTCCCTTTTTGTGTCTGCAGATGTAACAAGCATTCTCGGACAGTAAATCAGATGAAAAGATGAGATGGTGGCTCTAGGAACACAGAGCTCATCATAGCCTAGATGTTGGCTTTCTTTTGGCCTACTGTTAGTAACACCCACATCTGTGACGTAGTGGGTCTATTTTTGTGACGTCACGTGACAACCTCTGCGAAGCGATGACGCTGTTGTCACCGCGGCGACGGGCGATGCATACTGCCCCTTACATGCTGCACCACGTGCTGTGCGTGATCTTGCTACACTTCCTGGTGGCCTTCGCCCAAGGTCAAGGTCCCGGAATAATCGAGTTGTCAGTGGTGGAAAATTCCATAGTCGGAACTGTTGTCGGTTCTGTGGATTATGTTCAGGGTTACAGCTACAGTTTCCAGGAGCCCAATTCCTTGTTCGAACTCAGTACGTCGGGCACTTTACGAACGTTGGATTCGATTGATCGTGAGTCCATACCAGAGTCTCTGGTTCGCCTGTTTGTCGTCGGAACCCCGCCCACCACGCTGGACAGCCAGGTGACCTTCAGTGTGGTCATCACAGTTCTGGACGTCAACGATAATCGTCCGGATTTCCAGGTTGATGACAACAAGGAGATAATCGCTTTCCAGGAAGACGCGAGAGAGGGTCGCACCAAAAGCATTATTACCGCCTCGGATCCGGATGGGGGGAACAACGGAACCCTGTCATACCGAATCGCATCCGGGAACGAAAAGGGTATGTTTGGTTTGGATTTCACGGGCCTTCCTCTTATCCTATACCTTGTGAAGCGTGGATCGGAAGGGTTCGACCGGGAGAAGCTGGATTATTACGAGCTGGTAGTCTCTGCTTGTGACGGAGGTGTCCCTCCGTTGTGTACAGAGCTCACGGTGGGAGTGAACATTCTGGACGTGAACGACAACACGCCGGCCTTTGACCTCAGCGATTACACGACTCAGGTCAACGAGAGTGCCCCCGTCGGTTCCTCGGTGTTCCGGGCAGAGGCGACCGACGAGGACATAGGACTGAACGGCGAGGTGAGCTACCGACTCGAGGACGAGAGCAATCAGTTCAAAATTGACGAGAACACCGGGGTCATCGAGACGGTGACGAGTCCTCTAGCCTGCAGCCGGCGCTGTGGGCGCTCCAGCAACAAGTGCAGTCCCAACAGCTGCTTTATCAAGATCGTGGCCAGCGATAAAGGTCTGAACGCCCTCTCTGGGAGAGCCTATCTGTACATCGAAGTGTTGGACGAGAACGACCACAATCCGATTATCAGCTTCAGCAAAGACAACGCCGACATCACAACGGCTTCTGTGGACGAGAGTGCTGACCTACAAACCGTGGTCTTCACTGTAACTGTCACGGACGAGGATTCTGGCGCGAATGGGGAGACGTCTCTCAGAATTATCAAAGGAAATGAAGAGGGTTACTTCTTCCATTTATCCATACCCCAGTACGACATTAATGAGATACAGGTACAGAAGGCTTTAGATAGAGAGACGATCAACAAGTTTAATTTGACCTTCGAGGCTGTGGATCACGGCAGCCCCCAGAGAACGTCTACGGCACACATCCTCATCTATGTCAACGACGCCAACGACCACCAGCCCGTGTTTGATCGTGACGATTACAGCGTGAGCCTTAGCGAGTTCTCCAAGCCTCACTCGTTTGTAGCCAATGTGAGAGCTACTGACAAAGACGAGGGCGTGAATTCAAAACTCACCTACCAAATCTCCTCTGGAAATGAGTTTTCCTGGTTCAACATCGACCCCGACACAGGTTTAGTAACCACTCGTACCTACATTGACCACGAGAAGAGCGCCATGGTGGTACTGAACATCTCTGCTCACGACGGGGGGTCCATACCGAAGTACAGCCACGCGGTATTGTCCATTACTGTAGGAGATGAGAACGATTGTGCCCCCAAGTTTTCCAAGTCCTCTTACAAGCTAGAGTTGGAGGAGAACATACCCCCAGCTGCTGACATCACCACTCTGAGTGCTGTCGACCTAGATAGCGCGGAGAATGGGACCGTGGAATTTTCCATTCACCCGGACACAGAGATGCAGTTCCCTAACACATTCCAGATACACCCGACGTCCGGGAAGCTGACCGCACAGAAGAGATTTGATCGGGAGGAGAAGTCGCATTACGTCATCAAAGTAATTGCTCAAGATAAGGGACCACAACCTCTGTCATCCACCGCCACGATAGATTTGTCTATCAAAGATGTCAATGACAACCCTCCGAAATTCACACCCAAAGAAAACTATGTAAATGTATTCGACTCTGATCCTGCTGGTCTCCAAGTAGTGAGTGTCAGCGCCCACGACAAAGACACTGGCGAAAACGGGAAAATATTATACGCCCTCAGAAACTCCATCAACGATTTTGAGATCGACAAGGACTCGGGTATGATCTCCACCAGCCGCCAGCTTTCTGCACGAGAGTACCGACTCGTGGTCAGCGCCGTGGACGGTGGGGGGAGGCCCTCAGAGAATGACGCCATCATTAAAGTCATCGTCATCAGCATCTCCAGCTTAGCCCCCGTCTTCACGGACTCGGAGTACAACTTCCGTATTCGGGAAGACGAGCAGGAAAAACAGCACCAGACAGACAGGACTGTTGGTCAAGTCCAGGCCACGTCCCAGACGTCACAACCGGTCACTTACGCCATCATTGACGGAGATGTAGAAAGCGTGTTTAAAATCGGCGCTAGCTCAGGCGTGATCTCCACTCTGTCAGCAATTGACCGTGAGGTCCAGCCGCAGTACACACTGACCGTCATAGCGCTTGCCGGGGAGAAAATCATATCTAAGAAAGTGACGGTGACGGTTGAAGACGTGAACGACAACTCCCCCGAGTTTTTGACCCACACCACAGAGGCGACCGTCCTGGAGAACTGGCCTGTGGGACACAACATCTTCCTCGCCCAGGCCACGGACAGCGACGCTGGCAACAACCGCGTCATCACCTACAGCCTCGCCTCCGCCGACGACACCAACGACGTCTTTGCCATCGACGCTCAGACCGGGGTCATCTCTCTGGCCAAGCCGCCCAACCAGCTGGCGAGCGACTCCACCACCTTGACCGTTACTGCCACCGACGGGGGGTCGTCCCCCAGGTCTCGGTCCATGCAGGTCGTGATGAGGCTGGAAGACGTGAACGACCACACGCCGCTTTTCGCCCTCACCCGCCACGAGTTGTTTGTCTCTGAAGCGCAGTCGGTGAACGAGGTGGTGATGGAGGTCCACGCCACGGACGAGGACGAAGGCCCGAACGGGGATCTGAGTTACAGTATTGTGCGAGGAAACGAAGAGCATCGGTTTGGGATCTTTCCCGAGGGCTCGCTCTTCGTGGCTCATGGACTAGACCGAGAGAAGAGGGACATGTATTCTCTCACCATCACGGTCAAGGACAATGGGAAAGAGCCGCGGAGCTCCTCGGTCAACATCACTGTGTATGTTCAAGACGAAAACGATAACGCGCCCGAATTTACTCAAGTGTCCTACGAGTTCAGAGTGAGAGAGAACATGCCAGCAGACTCGTACGTCGGATCAGTGAAAGCTGTGGATAATGATTTAGGCAGGAACGCTGAAATTCTTTACTCTCTCGGAGGTGGAAATGTCAACTTCACAATTGATCCCATACTGGGTACGATCTTTACGAAAAGAGAATTCGACCGCGAGTATATTGTCAAGACCACCAACCTACCCTATTACGTGTTTGATGTGTACGCCTCTGACAACGGTCTGCACAAGCAACAGAGCAAGGTCTCCGTACGCGTCAATGTTCTAGACGAGAATGACAGCCCTCCCGTTTTCCTGCAAGCCTCGGGCAGCTCGCGTGCCGTGAGCGAGAACACAGAGGTGGGCGAGGAGATCACAACTCTCGTGGCTGTAGACGCTGACGCCGGAGCCAACGCGGCGGTCACTTACGCCATCACAGCCGGCAACGAGGACGGGAAGTTCCGAATCCACGAGACGGATGGGAAGCTGTTCTTGCAGTTGGCTCTGGACCGAGAGAGCAGGGACCATTACATGCTCACCATCAAGGCCACGGACACGGGGGAGAGTGTCCAGCTGGAGTCTACCACAGACCTGGAGATTTACGTGCTCGACTACAACGACAACGCGCCAGAGTTCGCCGCCGACACGGTACGGTCTGTAACCGTCAGCGAGACGACACTCGAGGGGGAGAACCTCGCCATCTTCTCGGGCACTGACCGGGACATGGGCAACAACGCCAAGCTACGCTTCGATATCGTCTCGGGCAACGAGGACGACACGTTCCGACTGAACATGGCCACCGGCTATCTCTATCTCGCCAGGGAGCTCAACTACGAAGCAAAACGAGAACACGTGCTGAACATAACCCTCTCGGACTCAGGTTTCCCCGCGCTCTCCGTGTCATTGACCTTTAAAGTCATTGTCCTGGATGCGAACGACAACGCCCCGGTATTTTTACACGGACAGTCGAGGATCCACATCAAAGAAAACCGCGACGTGGGCTCTAGTATTGCAGAAGTCAGCGCCAAGGACGAAGACTCTGGGGAGCTGGGCCAGGTCCGTTTCAGCATCTACAAGCAGACGCCTGTCGGAGACCACTTCCAGATCAACCCTGTCTCAGGGGTCATCACGCTCTCCAACGCCTTCGACCGTGAAGTCGCTGACAGTTTTGAAGTGACCATCCACGCCACAGACCAGGTCAGCAACCCGGCGCTGCGGCGCACCTCGGAGAAGTTCCTCACGATCCTGGTGGACGACGTGAACGACAACCCGCCTGTGTTCAACTCGCCCTCGGTCTTCCTCGTGGCCTACCCGTCGCCCTCGGGCACGACCGTGGCCTCGCTCTCAGCCTCGGATGTTGACGACGGCGACAACGCCAAGGTCACCTTCAACTTCGTGGGTGCCAAGCCCCTGCTGTTCAACCTGAACCCCAGCACGGGCACCATCTCCCTCGCCCAGGATCTCCCAGCGTCCCACCTCTCCTACACGCTCACCGTCATCGCCACGGACGGCGTCAGAGGAAGTTCCTCGTCAACCGTGAACACGGCCACCGCCACCGTCACTCTCCTCCTCTACACAAGCTCTGGCGTGGGCCCTGTGTTCCTCTCCTCCAACCCCAAGTCGGGCACGGTGGACGAGAACATGCCCGAGGGCACTGAAGTTCTCAGGATGTCCGCCCAACCGTCCAAACCAGGTCTGGGTTCCGTGGAGTATTACATCACCCGGGTCTCGGCGGCGGGTCAGGACTACGCCGAGGTGTTCACTGTGGGCCGCTCCTCGGGAGTGGTGTCCACCGCCGCCATCTTGGATAGAGAGAAGCTGCCGGCGAGCTTACAGGTGGATATTAACGCCGTGGAAAAAGAGAACGGAGAACAGCGCGTCACAACTACTCAGGTAAGAACTTTTTGATTATTTGGACTATCGGTCTTTGTGTTTTTCTCTCCGTGCTTCTGTCTTTCTTCTCGACTTTCAGATTTAGCCGTCTGTCTATTTATCTTTCTTCTCCTTGGTACTCCTGATCTGTCTTCCTCCAAGTGACAAGTTGGCATGCCCCCCTGCCTGTCTCTCTTCATTAAATCGTTAATTTATCGATGTATGTGTGTGTGTGTGTGTGTGTGTGTGTGTGTGTGTGTGTGTGTGTGTGTGTGTGTGTCTGTGTGTGAGTGTGTGTGTGTGTGCACTGTAGATAGGTCTTTAATCCCCATGCAAGCAAATCGACCGACTCACTCAAAGGGGACGGACGCGAGTCAAGTGTAGTTGGCAAAGCTGTTGTGATATTGAAACCCCCATACAAACAATATAATAAAAATAAAAAACAAACAAACAAGCACACCCACACACAAACACACACACACACAAACACACACACTCACACACTCACACACACACACACACCACACACACACTCACACCAACCTAACTCTGTCATGGACGCACAACATACTGCAGAACTAACAAGTTACCCATTAGCCGTTCTATAAAAAGCTGTTCGGTTTTGAACCGACCCAGCCTCGGAAGGCGAATCGAATGAAATTATTATCGACCCACCAATCCTTAACATAATTTAATAATATGAATTCTCTCATAGAGGGTTTTGCTTTGACGCGAGGGAGCATGCCTTAAATTCCAGAGGCTATATAAAGAAAGGAACCAGCTTTTGAGAAATAGAATTATCATGCAGAATATTTCTTTAACCGTACCTCTGCGTCTTTGAATGATAGAATACTTCGGTAATCGTTTACAAATCATCAGTTTTGATGACCTTGCCTTGTAAAAAAAAATGCAACTGGTGTGATTTTTGCCTGAGCGTTTTGGGCATGTGGGTGACTCATCGACGCTAAGCGTGTGCTCTATTTCTATTGAGGGCGTGTTCTATTTTTATGGTCTCCAAGAAGTGTGCTTTTTAATTATTAAAAAAACCCCAACTTAATTGTATGCAATGTCACACGGTATATGAAAAGTATCTTCTCTCTTTTTTTTTCTTTGTCTTTTTCTATTATATAATATATATTCTACTTTGCTTCTTGTTTGCTTGCTTGTTTGCTTTTGTTGTTTACGTTATGTTTCTTTCTTTTCTTTCTTTCTTTCTTTCTTTCTCTCTTTCTTTGTTTCTACATTGCTTCTTGTGTGGTTCTTTATTTCTGCTTTCTTTCTTTCTTTTCTTTCTTTGT